GGCATTTGTCGATTAATTCTTCCAAGACCTACATCCACAAGGATGTTCGCTCCAGCACGAATTAAAGAAGACATCAAAGCGGTAGAGAAGTTGGTAGATTTGCTTGAGGATGTGCTCACCAATCCATGGAAACGACGCAGTGTTCATGAGTTTGTCCACTGGTAGATATTGATGATGATTTACAACAGGTCAAAAGCAGAAGAAAGCAGGCAGCGAATGACTTTGTGGTGAACCGTTGCTCACCAGATCCAACTTTAGATTACTTTGATCCCCTGAAGAAAGCCAAGCTGAAGTCTTTTAAGGACCTTATGGCTGTGTGCAAAGTTCACAACAAGAATCTAGTACTTCCTCTTCGAATGGTTCGAGATGTATTTGCTCGGATGGCACTTCTCGAACAGTTTCGACAGATTGACGTGAAAGTTCTTTTTACCTATCCTCTTGGTCCTCTTCGTTGGTTCCTTGCTGATCCTTATGGACGAAAATCAAACAAGGTCAAACTTTCCCAACAGCTAGAACGAAGTATCACAGCCACAGAAAAAAACCCGGAGAACGCAACCAGCATTTTTGATGGGATGGCTGTCTTGCAAATGCGAAAGATCCCCTGTGGAGCAACGTTTTATATGGTCGCTGAGAGAGTATTTGAGATGGTAACGAGCACCTGTAGCATGCGCATATACGTCTTGTTTGACATGTACCACAAGAATGTAGAAAAAATAAAAAGTGTCTACCAGTCACGTTGTACAATATAAGAACATACTCCCTGCACATACTGTGAAGTCATGCAACAAGCTGCTCAGTGTCACCGCAAACAAGCCTGAGATCGCGAAATTCTTTGTGTCACAGTGGAAGACAGACACATTCAGAAGCAGGCTTGGCAACTGCATCATGTATATAACCATCGAAGAACAGTGTTGGCAACTGGACGTGAGAACGTGCGAACCAGTTCCTGAACTACAGTGCAATCACGAAGAAGCTGATACCCGCATGGTTCTCCATGCTCGGCACACGGCTCGCCCTTGCGTCATCCACTCTGATGATACTGATGTGTTTATCCTGCTGCTTTCTCATAGCCCGGACCTTAGAGCGTGCTACATAAAGAAGGGAAGGGGCGCAAAGACCAGATTAATAAAACTTTCTAAGGTTGTTAGCACTTGGGAAAAGCAACTTGACAGAGGCATTGAGAAGCAGTCGTTCATGAAAACCCTCACCGGCATACACGCGATTACAGGTTGTGATACCATCTCCGCCTTCTCTGGTAAAGGAAGGTGGAAAGGAGTACAGCTTCTTCAACATAATGAAAGATATGTCCAAGCCATGGCAAGTATCGGGGACGAGTGGGTAGTATCCGAGGAAGCATTTAAAGCTATGGAGGCACTCGTGTCAGTTGTATGGAAAGAAGTGCGACAGTGTGGGTGCCCTTCGCTATCAGATTCACTGCACCAGAGGCGAAAAAGTAGAGCCAGAAGCTTTGCTACCATGTGAGTCATCTTTACAACTTCAGGTTACAAGAGCAAATTACCAGGCAGCAATCTTGAGAAGAGCCATCATTTCGCGTCCGGTAATCTCCTCTCCTCATGGACATGGCTGGGAAGTAGACAACATCTCTAACGTCGTGAAATTTGTATGGCTTGGATCTAAACCCACTCCAGAAGAGGTCCTTGAACTACTCCCCTGTACATGCAAGAGAGCGTGCACCATCGAGAACTGCTGCAGCTTAAAG